ATTAAAATTTCAAATCAATAATTTAATTTGACTTTATAATAACGTTTAAAAATTGTAATGATAATTCATATTGTAATATAATCAATATTTTTTATTTAATGATTATTTTTTAATAAAATAAAAATAGTTAATTCATATATTAGAATAATCATTCATATTATAATGTAATAATATTTTTTATTTTATGAATATTTTTTTGTAAAATTAGAATTATATATTAGAATAGATATTTAATTTAGATATACATTAAAAAGTAATTAAATTTAGATAATAAATATATAGAAGAGATAGTATTTTTATTAAAATATCTCATCCTTATAAAAGATCAAAAGTTTAGAAACTCAAATTACAAGTAGCAATAAAAATATATTTTAAAAATGGAATTAGATTAACATTGTCAATGTATTTTAAAACTAATTTTTCCGACGTCTAATAATTAAGGATTACTTTCTCAGTTTTCTATTTAACCTATTTCTAAAGTTTATTCTTTTTCATTTTTAAGAACAACAACAACAATAATAATAATAATAATAACAACAACAACAAGAATAATAATAATAATACTAATAATTCATGATGGATCTGATTTTAATAAGTCCTGATTTGATTGGATCTGATCTGACCTGATTGGATCTGATCTGATCAGATTCGATTTGATCTGATCTGATCTGATTCGATCTGACATGATCTGATCTAATTTTAATAAGAATAAGAAAAATAAGAAAAAATAAGTTGAACGAAACGGAGCCTTTGTAATCCTTTTTGGGACAAAAATGTGAGGGGATATTATAATCTATTTCGAGACGAAGGGAGCATTATAGAAAATTTAATTTTTTGTTAAAAATTACAGAGTACCAAACAATACATTTATTGAGTAAGACAAATAAAAATATTGATGAACATTTTTTAAAGCACAATTTCTTCTCAACAAATTCTACCATGAATCTAAGATTTAGGGGCTGTTTGGCAACTTCTGAATGGGTAAGTGCTGAACCAGTAAGAGGTCTAAACCATTAAGTGCTGAACCAGTAAGAGGTCTGAACCATTAAGAGCTAGTATATTGCTTAACTATTCAGAGGCAAATGTCTGATCAATTCAGATAAGAGCTCTAAACCATTCAGACTCTGTATAATACTTAATCATTCAGGGGCAAATCTCTTAACCATTCACACATCTGAACCATTAAGAGGCTGAAACAAACAGTGTGAACCATTAAGTGCTGAATCATTCAGACATCTGAACCATTAAGAGGCTGAAACAAACAGCCTCTTATTATATACCTTCATATAAAGTCGAATGAACATTTTCTTGCAATTGTGATAAGAACTTTTTATTTTTTTAAACAAATAAATAAAAGTTTGTGTAAGATCTATGCAAACTTTGTGGTTTTTTAGTCCACCTTAGGTCCCGTTCCGTTTAACTTACTTTTTTCTTATTTTTTCTTATTCTTATTAAAATCAAGTTAGATCAGACCAAATTAGATCAAATCAGATTGAATCAGATTAGATTAGATCGAATCAGATTAGATCAGATCCAATCAAATCAAATCAGATCCAATCAGATCAGATCAGGACTGCTTAAAATCAGATCATATCAAGAATTATTATTATTATTATTATTATTATTATTATTATTATCATCATCATCATCATCATCATCATCATCATCATCATCATTGTCGTTGTTGTTGTTGTTGTTGTTGTTCTTAAAAATGACAATGTCAACCTAATTATACTTTTAAAATATATTTTTTATTGCTACTTGTAATTTGAATTTCTAACATTTTGATCTTTTATAATTAAGGATGAGATATTTTAATAAAAATATTATCTCTTCTATATATTGATTATCTAAATTTATTTACTTTTTAATGTATATCTAAATTAAATATTTATTCTATCTCTTCTATATATTGATTCAAGTATACAATTGACACACCTATAAAGTACCTAAGAGCATCCCAAGGTGTAGTGTAAAAATTGGTAGTGTAAACTTCATTTTACACTTTCAATAGTGTTTTACATTTCCATTTATTTATACTTACTGCAACCATATCTTCTACGGAGTATATAATACACTATTTATAAATTTTTTTAAGTTACTTATTTTTAATGATTTTTTAAAAAAGACGTAATAAATACCTTGTACATATGAAAATGGAGAAGCGGGAAGGAAAAAAATGAAGGAAATTAATTTTTTATTCTTTCCACTATCTATAGTGAACTTGTAAAAATATACTTTGGAGATTGCTATTTACACTACGGGCCTGTTTGGGAATAGCGTTGGAGATTAGCGTTAGCGTTTTGGATAAAATTTTAATGGTGCAGATTACTTTGAAAACGCTAACGCTAAACGCTGCCCGTAGATAGCCTTTTCAAAACGCTAACGCTAATCGCTAACGCTATTCCCAAACAGGCCCTACATTGCATTTTACTAATTGGTTTATCCTATCCACTGGAGTGTTGAAAAGACAACATTAAATTGTATATAGTGAATATTTTACAATATAGACTATCCTTGGAGTTGCTCTAACCACGTCCCTAACAAAACATATGGGATTAATTGACTACTTTTTTTTAATAGAAAAAATAATACCGAGTACTCCAACATAAACGGCTAAGATTTTTTCTTTTTTCAAGGCTATAAACGGCTAAGATTTTTTCTTTTTTCAAGGCTATAAACGGCTAAGATAAGTCAAGAGTGATTCTAAAAGACTACTACGTACGGAGTAAAAGAGAGGCTAGCCTTTTGTGTTTCTTAACTCCGTGATGGTACAGGAAATAATTCCATGATAAGAAAAGTGAGACCTAATCCCGCGGAGGAAAAATATGTCACATCAATAATTTTGATTTTTTTTCCTTTTTATTTTACGGGGAATGCTAAGCGTACACCATTTTGGTGTATCCCATTTGTATACCATTCATCTTCACCCTTCATTTCTTATTTTTATTTTTAATTTTTTTACTACGTATTTTGCTTTTGAATGGTGGGGATGGAGTGGGGTACAAATGGGGTACCCTAAATGGTGTACCTCTAGTATTTTTGTTTACTTGTATCATGTCATGTAGGGTGTATTATTTTTCTTCCATTTTTACTTCTATCATGTCATGTCGGCTACAATTATGTACTCCTCTGTCTCTAAATATTTGTCACACTTGTATTTTTGAGGTAAAATATCAAGTTTTTTTAAATTTATTTTATTTACATAATTAGTAAAGAAATAACACCAAGGTTCAAAGGACATTAGACCTTGATGTCATCATAGGATGACCGTTCCTACTCCCCTAACCTCCCGGTAAATCCCCCACCCGTTCCCCATATATCTTTCCAATAGCCCTTTTTTTTTGTCTACAATAGATCTTCTCATTTCATTTTTTAACAATTAAAATACAACAACTACTCTCACTTACTTTATTTAGTACACCTCACCCACTTCATTTAATACACTTCACCCATTTTCATTAAGGGTATTATGGTAAACTTTCACCTTTTATCAAATCTCCTTAAAAACCATCAAAAATCAAAATAAGAACATGTTAGTAGGAGTAAGGGAGTATTAAACAAAAGATAGATAAATCCAACAGAACAGTGGCAAGAATTCAGTAAATCAAACGGCTGGAATTGGGCAAGGGCATTTCATTTACAGTAATTGCCATAAATTTTTACAGTATGGGCTTCGTTCAAACACACTGGCCAAATCTTTCTTACAAATTTCCATAAATTTGCATCCGTCACTCCATTAATTGTCATAAATTTTATTGTGGCTACTTAACTACCTTTCATTTAGTATTTGGGAAGTACTCCCATTTTTTAAATACGGAGTAATTTGTATTCTTTACATTCCATAAAAGGGTTTTATTTATTTTAAATAAAAGTACTCCCTCTGTCCCTAAATAGATTATAATTTTTTTTCTCTCCTCTCGATAACTTTTGTTTGTTTACGCGATTTGATCAAGTAATTCATAAAATAAAATATTCTTGACACCTCTTGTTTTGTAGAACTTTTGACGTAGTTTTTTAATATGTAATTTTTATAGCTTATTGATATACCAATTTGTAAATAAAATGATTTCAAAAAACAGGAAATTTTACTCTGTAACCCGCATCTTGTAATCAAATTGGGGACAGAGGGAGTAGAATGTTTTTTGGATGAACGAAAAACAAATATTAATTTTATTATGGGACGAAGGAAGTATTAAACAACCATTTAATTTAAATTTGAATTGAATGTTTTTTAGGAAAAAAGTTGAATGCTTTTAATTTGTATGGATGGAGAATGTTTTTAGACCGAATACTTCTTCCGTCCTAACATAATGTTTTTATTTGAGTTTTTATGGTCAACATTAAAAAATATTTACCTTAAAATTTAAAAATAGTTTATTGGATAAAATCGTAAATTTAATATCATTTGATATGCCTTTAAATGAAATTTCAAAATATCATGTTTTATTTATAAAATGATATATATATATATACATATATACATATATACATATATACATACATATATACATACATACATACATACATATATATATATATATATACATACATATATATATATATATATACATACATACATACACACACACACACACACACACATATATATGGGTTCCTGTGAGCATGGGCGGATGCACGTTTACTATTATAGGGGCACTTGCCCCCAGTCAGATTCTAACAAGTCAGGCTTTAGATAAAAATTCAGTTGATAAATTAATTTTTTCTTGATTAAAAAAACCATTGCCCCCATTAATTTTGTTTTAAATTGACCGCGCCCCCACTCATTTTTCTAAAATGGACCCAGCTTCCACTTTTACACAGTATCTTTTCTTTGATACTACGGTATTTTTTATTCATTTTAATTACTCCTCCACTGAAATTGTTTTCTCATTCCGGTTTACAAAATTTGATCAAAATTATTTTTAATTATTTGATTATATATGTAAAATTGAAAATAAAATTTATATATTAAACACTACATAAGAATCTACAAAATAATAGTTGACATAACTATATTGTATATGAAATATGTAGTCAAAATAATCAAACAAAGTGAATAAAGTTTAGTAGTGTAAATAACACTTCGTATATAAGAAAAACATTTCCGAACAAATAAATCAGAGTAGTACGTTGAAAGTTTTTTTTTTGAATAAATTCTAAAATTACAATGACATTAGCACGCACTGGTTTTTGTACTGTAAACGCTGTAAGCGTAAAGGAGGAAGACGAAGATAAGCCAGAAATAAGAAAAGAGTATTCAGAGATTCTCATTCAACATTGAGTCCAGATTACAGTATTTAAAGGAGAATGATGGAGAGCTAACCAACTTCTAACCAACTACTAACAACCGTAACCAACTACTAACAACACTACCAAACGTAACTAACTTCTAGCAGAATATTCTCTACATCCCCCCCTCAAGGTGGACTGGGAGGACACCGCAGCACACCCATCCGCGAGATCAGATCATTGTGATTGACTTCTCCCAATGGTTTCGTAAGAACATCAGCCAGTTGTAAACGAGAAGGCACAAATGCAGTTTGTAAGAAGCCTTCAGAGATCTTGTCACGTGTATAATGACAGTCAATATTGAGATGTTTAGTTCTCTCATGGAATACTGGGTTTGAAGCTATGTGTATGGCTGCCTTGTTATCACAAAATAGTAGAATGGGTAGTTGAGGAGGAATGGACAAATCCCCTGTAATGTAGCTCACCCATTCCAACTCTGAAGTAGTGGCTCACATAGCTCTGTATTCAGCTTCTGCTGAGGATTTGGATACCGTCTTCTGTTTCTTTGTTTTCCAAGAGATGAGAGATGATCCTAAGAATACACAGTACCCAGTTAATGATTTTGAACTCATTTTGCAAGATGCCCAGTCAGCATCACAGAATCCTCTAATGCGCAGATCCGAGTTAGCTTGATAAAATAGACCCATATTGATGGTACTGCGCAGATAAGAAAGTACATGATAAACAGCTTTAATGTGCTCAGTTGTTGGCACTTGCATGAATTGGGACAAGTGTTGAACAAAATAAGATATATCTGGGCGTGTTAATCCCAAATAGAGCAATCTGCCAATAATCCTTCTATATTGCTCAGGTTTGGTAAAAGGTGTACCAGAGACAATTTCATGTTTCTTGGCAGTGGGAAACCAGCAGAGGCATGAGTGGGTACACCAGCATCTTCTAATAAGTCAAGTATATATTTCCTTTGATTCAAGAAACTGCCCACAGCAGATCTGGAGATCTCCATACCCAGGAAATATCTGGCCAGCCCCAAGTCCTTGATGGTGAACTTGGTATGAAGATGGCCCTTGACCTCTTGAATTTGAGCCTCATCCTCACCTGTAATTAGGACATCATCAACATACACCACTAGTGCCAGGAATTTACCATTGGATTCCCTGGTAAACAAGGAGTGATCATGTTTGGATTTGATGAAGCCCAGAGATGAAAGGAATGCTGACAGTTCAACATTCCATTGCCTTGAAGCCTGCTTCAGTCCATATAATGATTTCCTCAATTTACAAAACTCTCCTGGTTTGGCCTTCGTGTAACCTGGTGGGGGCACCATGTACACTTCTTCTTTAATGAACCCATGCAGGAAGGCATTATTTATGTCCAATTGATGTAAGGACCAGTCTTGAGCAGTAGCTAGAGCAATCAGAATTCTGATTGTGGTGAGTTTAGCCACTGGAGAAAATGTGTCCTTGTAATCCTTTCCTGGGATTTGATCATACCCTCTAACTACTAGTCTTGCCTTGTACCTTTCAATGTCTCCATTAGGTAAATACTTGATTTTGTAAATCCACTTAGGAGTTAAAGGTTTCTTCCCAGGTGGTAAGGAAGTCAGTTCCCATGTATGATTTTCTTCTAAAGCATTCAACTCCTTCTTCATTGCTGCAATCCACTCAGGCTTATCCTTGGCCTGTGAGTAATAGTAAGGCTCTGGTGTAGCTATAACCTTTTTGAGAGAAGCAAGGAAAGCTGTGGAATGGCAGTCCAAGTCAGCAGACATCAAGCCATGGGAAGCAGCAAAAAGACTATAGGATTGAGAGGACACAGGTGATGATAGTTTTCTCCCCTTAGGTTGAACATAGTCCTTCATCCATACAGGTGGAACTGGTCTCCTGGAAGACCTTCTAATTTGTTGAGACACATCTTCATTATTGTTCCCACTTTCTGGAACTGAATTAGACTGTTCATCTGCAGATTGGGTTGGTTGAACACGCTCAGAAGTGGGTTGATTTATAGGGGTTGTACCCAGGGAATCATATGTCACCTCCCCAGTTTCTGGAACTGGCAGACAGCCATCATCAGTATTCTTAGAAACAGGTTGTGATTGATTCTTCTGTCCCTCTTGCTTGAAAGGAAAAATGTGTTCTTAAAAGAGAACATCTCTACTGTGGAATACTGCCTTGGTTTGCAAATCATACAACCTGTAACCCTTTTGCCCAAAAGGATATCCCAGAAGAACAGCTTTAATTCCTTTGTTGTCAAACTTATCTTTTCTGTGAAGATTTGCTGCAAAGCACTGGCACCCAACTACTCTCAATTCTTCATATGTTGGTTGCTTGTTGTAGAGCAATTGAAAGGGGGTTTTCCAGTTCAATCTCTCTACTGGAAGTTTATTTATGATGTGGGTTGCAGCAAGTATACATTCTCCCCAAAATCCTTTGGGAAAATTAGCATGAACCCTGATGGCCCTGGCTGTGTCTAGGAGATGTCTGTGCTTCCTTTCCACAACTCCATTTTGTTGTGGAGTTTTGACCATGGACCTCTGATGGAGAATGCCCTTTTTTCCAAAGATTTCAGCACAAGTGGAATTTAAAAACTATGTTCCATTGTCAGACCTAACATACTGGACCTTCCTCTGAAATTGTGTTTCTATCATTTCTAGGAAGTTAGAAATGATGGTTTTAACTTGTTCCTTGTTATGTAATAGTTGTGTCCAAGTTCCTCTTGTATAGTCATCCACTATTGTAAGAAACAATCTGGCTCCTGTGATATTTGGCTTTTTGTATGGTCCCCATAAATCAACATGAATGAGTTGAAAAGGAACAATAGTATAAGAAGTGCTATGTGGAAAAGGGAGTCTATTAAATTTTGTAAGCATACAGACATCACAATGAAATTTGTGTTGAACATCAATACTACTTTCAGATATATGTTTCATCTTAGACATAGAAGTATGGCCTAATCTAGCATGCAGTAGCTCAGGTGTGCAAGTATTAGCAGCCATTCCATGTCTCTTGTATATCTCCTTGCCTTTGTGTTCCACCCTCAGTTTGTACAGACCATGACTTCTAAGGGCAGTTGCCATAATTTGTTCAGTTGAAGGGTCCTGAAACACACATTTATCAGGCAGAAACACAACACTGACCCTCTGAGTATCAATCACCTTGCTTACTGATATTAGACTAAACTGAAAATCAGGCATATATAAGACATCCATCAGGACCAAGTCTAGTGACAACTTCACTTTTCCTGCTTTGGTTACAGTCTTGTGTGTGCCATCAGGTAGTGTTACTGTTATAGGATTTGGCAAGTTATGCACATCACACAATATATTTTCAAAAGGAGTCATGTGGTCAGATGCTCCAGTATCTATAATCCAATCAACTGTGTTTCCAGTTCCCACACAACAAATTTCAGCAACATATGAATCTAACACAGCTGACGCTATTGAACAGGATTTACGTGCCAAATGCGCATAGGCATTTAAAGAGGCACCTTTTGATGAAGTGGAAGCCTTGTGAGACATCATCCTCATCATCTCTTGAGCTACATGTTGGATGAACATGGGGTTGTATCCCTCTCCCTTTTGACTAACTGTATCCTCCAGAGGTGTGTCAAAATGGGAGTCTTGTATCTGTGATGTGGTATGTGCTGCAAACTTGCCTCCTCCATATGAATTTTGTCCTTTCTTCCCTTTAGGACCCTTATACCATTCAGGATATCCCACCAATTTGAAGCACTGCTCCTTGAAGTGACTAGTTTCTTTGCAATATTCACACATCTTCTTGCCTTTCCTTGGATCTGTTCTGTTATATCCATTTTGTCTCTGTCCATTTCCTTTTCCTGCATAAAGTGCCATATTTTGAACATCACTGGTATCACTTCCAACATATGCCGCCATTTCAGATCCAAGAGTTTGAATTCCAGTGATGTTTCTTTGTCGTTCAACTTGTTGAACCAAACTGCATGCTTTGCTCACCGTTGGAAGAGGTTCCATGATCAAGATTTGGCCCCTGATTGCATCAAAACCTTCATTTAGGCCCATAAAAAATTTTATCAGCCTTCGTTTTTGCTCAGCTTCTGCCAATTTTCTCTTGGCATCACACGTGCATCCATTGCACTCGCATACAGCTGGATCATTGACATTTGTCAATTCATCCCAAAGTTTCTTCAGCTTGGTGAAATAAGCACCAACAGAATCATTATTTTGCTTGATATCAGCAATTTTCTTCTCGATTTGATAGATCAGAGGTCCATTGCTTTCGCCAAATCTCTCCTCTAACTCGTTCCACAATTCTTCAGATGATTTAGCATATAAGAAGGCTTCTGCTAAGTCAGGCTGCATTGAATTCAAAATCCAGCTGAAAACCATGTTGTCGCAGCGTTCCCACTGTGCGTAATTTGGCTCATCAGGATTGTTTGGCTTTCTGCATTTTCCATTGATGAAGCCTATCTTCATTTTGGAAATCAAGGAAATCTTGATCGATCGGCTCCATGGGATGAAGTTCGTCCCTATCAGCTTCGTCGTCGTGAGAATCATCCCTGGATGATCTGAATTGTGCAAGAACAGAGGATCTTGCCTGTAAGTTTGTTCTTCATTGTTCGCCATTTCTTGCGCAGCACCTGTTCGTCAGATTGCTTGATGCTCTGATACCATGTAAACGCTGTAAGCGTAAAGGAGGAAGACGAAGATAAGCCAGAAATAGAAAAAGAGTATTCAGAGATTCTCATTCAATATTGAGTCCAGATTACAGTATTTAAAGGAGAATGATGGAGAGCTAACCAACTTCTGACCAACTACTAACAACCGTAACCAACTACTAACAACACTACCAAACGTAACTAACTTCTAGCAGAATATTCTCTACATGTACTTAATCGAAAGTTCTTAGATACAGTCTGCTAATGGTGCCCCCAGTCATAAATTTTTTTGGATCCGTCACTGCCCGTGAGAATGATGTTTGGTGAAAGAAATAAGAATAGGTATCATCCGTTGGATTAGTGGCACTGGACGATCAAGATTTAGTAATGCATTTAATGACTCAATTAATCTATTTTTGTTAGGAAATCACGATAATGCAAAAATTTAAGAATAGTGAGTGAATAGGGGCATAAGGGTCATATGTTAATCTAGTCTAATTTTGATCGGATAAAATTGCAACCCCATTCGTGGCCATATGGGCACTTACTCATCTTGGAAATATTTATCATTATATCAAAATATTAATTTCATTTCATTTAATTACTCCGTATTATTCTGTGTTGTCTACTTCTGATATAAGTTTTCGTGTGCAAATCCGTTCTTGACAAAAAAATATGTCATTGGAAATTTCTCATCGAGATCTATCCAACACAGAAATAAATTCACTCTCCCATTTTTTTGAGATTGATCTCAAGAAGATGCACTAAGATGACAGATATATGCATCGTGATTTATGAAATGTGATCTAATGCAAGTGTGTTTTAATAACTCTATCTAATTTTTATTTTATTTATTTACGGATTAGTAGTTTAGTACATTGATGACTCTTTAAGGACTTTGTATGCGAATAAAAAGCCTCAAAATGCATTGTGTTTTGAACATGTATAATGCAGATTTGAGAAATAGGTAACAATTTGTAAAACATAATGAATCATCATTTGAACTAATAGGTAATAATTTGTTTTTTCAAAGCGAATTCCATCTCCCACTTGGATCTACTAAACTCGTTTTTTCATATTTTAAAATTGGTATCATTCAACGTATTTCTAACCTACATATAAAAAAACTACATGAAAAGTTCTTCGAAATAAGAAGTGTCAAAAATATTTTATTTTATCAAATAACCAATTAAAACGTTAAAATAAACAAAAGTTCCCGCGACTGATGAAAAAGCAAATGTTATGAATATTTAGGGACGGAGGAAATATTACAAAATAGAGTATGAAAAAGGAAAATAGGGTAGATGGAAAATGGGGATAGGGGTAGGGAGGGGTTGAACGGACTGTGTAAAGGAAAAAAAGGATGAAATATTTCTTTTTGTCAGATAATTATGTTTCTTCCCTTGGGAAATGGGAAGTCACCACTCACCAGTCACCAGCGGTTGTAAAGGCATGGTTTGCTAATTGGACCTTGCTAATTCAGTAATTTGATGTAGACAAAGGTCCTGTTTGGCATCAGTGTCAGAGATTAGCGTTAGCGTTTTGAAAAAGCTATCTGACGGTAGCCTTTAGCATTAGCTTTTTCTGAATTAATCTACACCGTTAATATTTTATTCAAAATGCTAACGCTAATTGAAAACGCTCTTCCCAACCAAGGCCAAAACTAGTGGGGGCGCGGAGTACAACTGTACAAGTGTACAAGTCACCTTATTTTTACTTGGAATTTGAATTAAATATTACGGAGTACTAGTATTCCGTATTAAAATACTTTGTCTCTAATTCGATTACAAATTCAAGTTTACGAGAATAAATATATTATTTTTTGAAATCATTTTATTTATAATTTGGTATATTAATAAAACAAAAAAATTACATAATAAAAAATTACTTCAAAAGTTCTATAAAACAAGAGATGACAAGCATATACTCCGGGGTAATATTTTATCAAATACTTAATAAAATTACGTATACAAACAAAAGTTATCGAGAAGAAATGGAAAAATTATAATCAAATTGGAGACGAAGGGAGTATATAATTTTTCAATATAGTACTTAAACTTTTTTATTTCCTAAATAGTACGGAGTATTTAAATAATGTTTAGTAGACGGAACAATGTCAAGTCATGTTGGATATTTACTTAAATTATGACCAGTGAATATTGAACAGTTGTACTACATTGAGAAATAAAAATATATGACCCGATTCTCATATCTATATAGAGTACATCCTTTATTTTAAAACAAGAAAAAATGATTAAATTAAAAGTAAAAATGAAAAAAAGTATCAAAATAAAACTTTCATATTTTTTATTTCAAAAATAAAAAATACTCCGTAAAAGTACTGCATAAAATGTTACTCGGTATATTTTGGGGAGTATTTATTAATTGGACAATTTTTTTTTCCCAAAAACAAGCTCAACCATATCTTTATTGGACTACTTGGGAAGAGGAGAGGGTATTAAAGACAGGTGGTTGGGCCCATGTTTTTTTATTTACTACGGTTTTACGGAGTAGAGTAATAAAAGTGACTAACCAGCTCTTTCCTCCTGGTTAATTTACACTATCCCCATTTTTAGTAGCAATTGGAAGGCTGCAGCTTGATATGCAGATCTCTAATAACACAAAAATGGCAAAAATGCGCCAGTGCCAGCCCCGTCACCTGCTAGTTCGCAGGCTTTCTCAGAGAGGGAGGACGTATGAGGAGGAGAAGGAGAAAAGAAAATTGCCAAAAAGAAAAAAAAGGGGGGGTTTGCTTGCTTAGGGTTTTGAGACCATCCCCTGCATCTAGGTATCACAAGCAAAACAAAAATTTGATCTTGAAGCCACAATGTCAGGGCAGGATGTTGGTTCTTCTTCATCATCAGGTCCTAGGCTGAGCTACAGTGCAATAATAAACCAGCCACCCCCATCTCCAGAGGAACAAGAAAAGCTTAGGATTTAAAGGGAAAGGACGAGCTTGTATTATAAATGCTTCAATGCTCCTACTCTCTCACCTCCAGAACCCATCGATCAGGTAATCAATTTGTAAAATTTGTTTAAAGTAAGACTAAAACATATTGGGTTTCTCTACAGAGGAGTAGTTAGGTTTTTTTCTTTGTATAGGACATATTTTAATTAAACCTTCCATCTCTGCCCTTTTCGTGTATATAATTTGTTCTTCCGTTTTTTTTTTTTTTGGATTTTGTTTATCAGCCCTTTTCGTGTATATAATTTGTTCTTCCGTTTTTTTTTTTGGATTTTTTTTGGATTTTGTTTATCATTAATTATTCCTATTTTTAAGGGCAATTGATAAATACACTCCAAAAATGTTAGTTGCACTCCACATGTTTCTTTTATGGCTAAGAATTGACAAAAGTGTCCTTTAAAATTCTTCATTTCATTTTAATGTCAAATTGCCTTTAAAGAAAAATACATTGATTGAGGAAAATATGTCATTTGTAAAGTGACCTTACTTAGATAAGATCTTTTCTATAGGGTCGCACCTCTAAATATATCATTTTTAAAACTCAACATTAACCTCAATAAGGTTTTTTTTAATGGACTAAGCGTGTATAAAAAATTTAATTTTTTAAATCCTGATTTCTTTTCTCATTTATTTTGAAATTGTTTTATTAAAAAAATTTTAAATATTTTTTTATACAAAGTATTTTTTATCTATTTTTTATGATATTTTTGTTTTCTTTTTATTTTATGTAATTATTTTACTATTCTCAATATTTTAAATGCCAAATATTTGTAATATACTCCAGTTAGATGCTCCATATGAAACTGTGATTTTTTTAAATCATGTGCTCCGTATAAAAGTAGAAAAAAAATCAGAAAAATAGATCTAAGATCCAGAAAAAATTCTTGTTATTGAAAATCATCACATTCATGACTTTTATCTCTTTTGTGTTTTAGATTTTAGATGTATATCTTTGAATTTTTCTATTTTATTTTCTATAAATAATTTCAATACAATACACTTAATTATATGCTCCATATTTAATTAGAGTACAATCAAAGGTTTGGATTTAAAATAATTAAATAGTTCAAAACAATTAAAGAAAAATAAAACAGAAAAACAGAAAAAATATATCAGCATTTTTCTAAACTATTAGAAATAATTTTAAGAATAAATTTCATATTTAAAAAATAAATTTCAGTTTTAGAAAATAAATTTCAGATTGAATTGGTATGTTACGAGTACTTGTCGATTGAGGGGTTCATTTTAAGTTAACAATGACATACGGAGTATACTTCTCCATCAATGTTTTTTGAGGATTTAAAGTTACTACTATTTTTATTTTGATGGTTATTTGATATTAAAAAGATATGAAAGATTTTAAAGGGTTTTTTTGTCAATAAAAAAAGATGTGGAGTGCAACTAACATTTTTGGAGTGCATTTATCAATTCCCATTTTTAAGGAAATAACAGTTTCAAATTGTTAGACTCTTCTTCCACACGCATATTCTGCAGCACAATTCTCGCTCTTTGTAATTTCATTTGCTTGAAACATCATTTATTTAGTTACGGTTTATTATTATTTTTCAAAACATAATGTCTTTAGCAGTAAGTTATACTCCCTCCATACCTAAATAGATTACAATCTTTTTTTTCTCTCATCTCGATAAGTTTTGTTTCTTTATGCCATTTCATCAAGTATTTGATGAAATAAAATATTCTTGTCACCTTTTGTTTTGTAGAACTTTTGATGTATTTTTTTAATATGTAATTTTTATATCTTATTAATATACCAATTTGTAAAAAAAATAATTTTAAAAAGTAGAAATTTTACTCCGTAACATGCAATTTGTAATCAAATTGGGGACGGAGGGAGTACATAGGTTTATTATTAGTAGGGCGATAATTGTACATTTTCGGAATAAACTTTTAAATATTCGTTATTCCCTTTGTCCTTTAATATTTTTTTATTTTTGACTTTTTTTTGCCAAAATTGGTAAATTTTGACCATAGATTAAATAAAAGTGATACTCTCTACGTCCAAAAATTTCCTTTTCAGTTTGACTTGGCACGAAGATTAAAAAAAGTTAAAAAGTGTAAAGACTTTCTGTGTTGTCCTTGCTGTCATGGAATAAAATGAATAGTGTAGATAAAAAGTAGGAGTATAATAGCACATTCATTAAAAGTTTTTTGCCAAAATAAAGAACGAGAAAGAAATTTTTGGACAAACCAAAAAGAAAAGTGAAAAAGAAATTATTGGACAAAGAGAGTATCAAATATTGATACAAAAATAATTTTATTAGATTTAATTTATAAAATATATTTAGAGTTTTATTTCAACTTATTCATATACGATAATTTATAAAATATATTTAGAGTTTTATTTCATCTTATTCAAATACGATATATATTTAATTTAATTATAGATTAAAACAAGCATAAGGACTAAATCAAGTTGTCCGTCATGTTCTTTGTGGATAAAAATACATTGTCCTAAACATAAGGTCAAATGAAGACATCATTCAGCGTTTAATGTCCTCAAAAATTGTTTTTATAGACTTAATGACTAGACTATACTGGTTATTGTATTCTTTTAGAATAAGCACCTAATGTCCTTAACATATAGAGTCAATATGATAACTTATCTGTATGTGTAATGTCCTTATGTTTAATGACTACAGCAAAACACCAATTTTTAGTCCGTATGTGTAATGTCCTTATGTTTTTTTTTTGAACGAAATGCAAATATATTCAATGTCTCAACTCAAATGTACAAACACACCCCTTACAAAGACTGGCTACTTACTGTCTATAGCCTCCCCATTAAGCAACACACACAGACATAACTACTGCTCTAGTACAACCTATTAAAGCTCTCACAAATTTTATTCAAAGCTGGCATTTTGAACGCAAGTATGTGCTAGATGAATATTTAATCCATTGCACTGCTTCCTCAGTTGGAGTGAGAGTATTGTTGTGTAACGCTTGGTTTCTGCACTTCCAAATATTGTAGAGACAAGCTGCAAAGATTGCTACTATTCCTCTCTGCCTCTTCTTTGGTGCAATCTTCTGGATGTGTTCTATCATTTCATTGACGGTTCCTCCCTCAAACTTGTAATGACACCAATCTTGGATACCTGTATACACTCCCTTGGAGAAAGTACATGTGCAGAATAAATGATCAAGGGTTTCCTCTGAATTTTGGCACAAAATGCATTGAGTATCAATAGGCAACCATTTGCTTAACCTGCACTTGGTCTGGATTTTGTTTTTACAGATTAGCCAAAAGATAAACTTATGTTTGGGAATGGTGAACCTATTCCAGACCATGTCCTTCCACTTCCAGTCCTTCAATTCCCCCAATTACCATTGATATCCCAGTATTGGGGTATAGGGGGCCGATTTATCCATACTCTCAAAACAGTCCCTCGTTTGAAGGATTTTTTTCCAATAGTAGCAATCATCCCTTCTATTTTGACATTCCCAAATCGTAGAGTCTTTAATATATTTGTTATGGATCCATTTGATCCATAAGATATCTTTTTTCAAGGCAATGTCCCACACCAGCTTCATTATGTTGGCTTTGTTCCAAAGAACCATATTCTTTAGGCCTAATTCACCAAATCTCTTAGGAAGGCATACCTCCTCCCATGCAACTAGGGTGACTTTCCTTTGTTCCTTAGAGGATCCCCATAAGAAACTCCTACAAATAGCTTGTATTCTTTTCATGACCATTGAGGGGATGAGGAATAATCTGCTCCAAAAGGTCAGAATTCCATATAAAACTGAGTTAATCAGTTTCACCCTTCCAGCATACGATAAATTCTTGGATGACCAGGCATTGATTTTGATAGTCATTTTATCTACCAGACTCTCACAGTCCTTAATACTAATCCTTGCTGCTGTAATTGGAGATCCCAAATATCTGAAGGGTAGGGACCCCTTCCTCATATTGGTTATCTGGAGAAATCTGTCCTCCATCTATCTGTTTACCCCTCCAAAAGTAATATCAGATTTAGAGGGATTGATGGAAAGACCAGTAGTATTTCTAAAATGCTCTAAAGTCTTCATAATGCCCTTGATTGATTTTTCTTAAGCTTTGCATGCAACTATTAAATCGTCAGCAAAGACTAGATTGATAACCTTCAAGGATTTGCAAAGTGGGTGATATCCAAACTTCTCTTTGGTGGCATAATACTGAAATGCTTTGGTAAGGTATTCCATAATAATAACAAATAGCAAAGGAGATACAGGATCTCCTTGCCTGAGCCCCTTTCCTCCTTTGAAATATCCAAAACTCTCGCCATCCAGTAGTATGGAGTATGTGGGGGTAGTCACACAAAAATTAATCCATTTGGTAAACATTGAGGGAAACTTGAGAAGCTTCAACAGTTGGTCAATAGCCTTCCAGCTAACGTTGTCATAAGCTTTTTGGAGATCCAACTTCATTAGGCATCTTGGAGAGATATCTTTCCTCTTATAACCCTTTGCAATCTCCTGGCATAAAAGTACATTGTGTACTAATTCTCTTCCTGCTAGAAATGCTCCTTGGTTCAGGTTAATTATCTCTGGTAATATAGCCTTCAATCTGCCACATGATTTTTGAGATAACCTTATAAAGGACATTACAACAGGCTATAGGTCTCAGGTCGGTGGGACTCTTTGGATCATCAGTTTTAGGAATAGCCACAATATTTGTAGAGTTTATTTGTTTAAGTGTTTCTCCTTTGTGGAAGAAGTCTTGAATCGCTTTGATAATTAGTACCCCTGTTTTCTTCCATTGGTGTTTGAAAAAACCACTGCTATAGCCATCTGGACCTGGACTTTTGTTATTAGGTATATCAAACAAACATTTCTTTATTTCTTCAGCAGTGACTGGAGCAATTAGGGCCAGTTGTTGATTTATGGATAAGGTAGGACCCATTCCAATAATATCAGCATCAATGTCATCAGTCTCCATTGTTACTCCCAGTTGTTTTTGAAAATAATCAACTAGGACTTTTGCCACCTCTAATCTCCCCTCCACATATACCCCCTCTGTATTCCTTAGGGAGGTTAAGTGGGTTTGTGCTTTCCTTTTCTTCACCCATGCACAGAACAATTTGGTATCCTGGTCCCCATAAGTGATCCAGTCAGCTTTGGATTGTTGCCATTTCATGAGATAGCTTGCTTTAAGGGTCTGATGTAGTTCCTTGGTTAATTCCTTTTCAGAAGCTAGTAATCTGCCATCAGAAGAATTGTATTTCATTTCCTTCTGGACATTCTGTAGCTTAATTCTAATCTGATCCATCTGAGTATCTAGGGATAGGAAGTTCCTCTTGTTCAGCCTTTTCAGAGGATACTTGAGTTGTTTGAGTTTTTGGATGATTTGGTACATCGGGAAACCTGTATGTTCTTGCATCCACACTTCTTCCACAATCTTAGAGAACTCAGGAACTAGTGTCCACATGTCACAGAATTTAAATTTATAAGATGCTGTTTGATGCCCTACTCTTTGAAGAATCATGGGGGAGTGATCAGAGATACCCCTTTCTTTAAAACATACCTTAAAATCAAATGTTACCATCCATTCTACATTGCCAAGCACCCTGTCCAATTTGGAGTAGATTCTCTTTTCCATTTCCTGATTGTTAGTCCATGTATATTTTGGTCCTTCATAAGGTAGATCATCTAGTCCACACTCGTTGAGACAATCCTTGAAAACCTTGGCTTCCTCCCAATTAAGTGGATTCCCTCCTATTCTCTCATCTATGTGCAGGACAGTGTTAAAGTCCCCTAAAACACACCAGGCAGTACTAATAGTGATCTGTTGAAGAGTATCCCATAGTTCCTTTCTCTTCACGGCTTCGTTATGTGCATAAATAAATGTTATGAAGAAGTCCTTCTCTCCAATAAATCTTCCTTGACAATGAACTACCTGGTCAGTAGTCTTTATAATTTGCAGACTAATCTTACTTTTATTCCATATTCTCCCTAGAGGATGGGCTTGATTATTGATATAAGAGCCCCATCCTCTAAACATTCTGTCTTCAATAGCTTTGAAGTTTATTTCCTTAATTTTTGTTTCCAACATACCAAACAGAGACAAACTGCATTTCTTTACTAAATTCAAGACTTCCATTTGTTTATTAGGGCTGTTGAGCCCTCTTACGTTCCAGCATCCAATCATAACAAAAATGGGTAATGGCCCTCATATGGGGCTAAACTTAAATCCTTATGTAAGTATCCCACATACTCCGACTCTCTTTCTTCAAATGAGACTTTTCTTGCAGCTTTCTTTTTGCTGACTTCTATGAAATCTGAGAGGTCAATTGGAGGATTATCATTGGGAGATTGGTTTTCCTTAGACTCATTCTCCTTTGTTTCTTTGTTATTGTCAGTTTCTTCCTCAGGTGGATCTGTTGTCAAACCAGGCTCAGTTTCCAGTTTCTTGTTCTCATTCTGCACTGCTTTGGGTCTCCATACAAATCTCTTTTTTCCATGGCCATCATTATTGGTGTTGGTTCTTTTCCTGCACAGATCAACTCTATGTCCAATCTTGTTACAATGAGTGCAAAGGGTAGGAATCCACTCATATTTCACCTCTTGTGTCATGATTCTGCCTTCCTCATTAACAAAATTTATCTGCTCAGGGAAGCATTGGTTAATTTGTACCTCAATCTGAATGCGTGCATAGGACCATTTAACTCTAGAGGCTGTTGCCTTGTCTCTTTTGACTGGTTGTCCAATAGCACTCCCCATCTTACTCAAGCCCGCTAGGCTCCAATATTTCATCTCCAGATCCGGGAATTGTACCCAAATGGGGATATCCTTCCTGTCCATCAGGTTCACCTTGCATCCTGGATACCAGTTTTGCACATAGACTGGCTTATTGTCCATGAAATAGTATTTCCTCTTAAGGATTTCTTCCTTATCCTCTTCCTTGTTAAATCTAACAATAAACTGCCCCTCTCTTAAGAATGAAACATCTTCTATAGCATACATTTTCCATATACGAGCTAGAAATCCTTTGACAATATCCAAGGGGGGGTTTGCACCAAGTATACAACAGACTATTGCAGTATCCCAATATTTACCTGGCTCAATAATATCATCTTTTGTGAATCGAATCAGGCGTTGTCCGTCAACTTCTTCAATCGGTATGTACTTTAGGTTAAATTCAAGTTCATCTTGAATTCCCACCACTTCAGCATAGCTCTTCGGTTTTTCCTCTACGATGTTGGCAGAGACTATTGGATCTACATTATCAGCCCCCGGATCCGGCGGGTCTTGGTTGATCAACTTATCTCCCAGAGATGTTGAAGATTCTTCCTTCTCAGACGATTTCTCCTGCTTATCTGGAGTTTCCAGCTCCTCTCCGATGGGTTTTCCGATGGCTTTTGGCGGTCGCCCTCTCTTTCCCATGGTTAGGGAGAGAAACACATGGTTTAATGACTATCTGTTGCAGCAAAACACTAATTTTTCGTCCATGGTTCATTGGTTCCAAATCAGGTTTAAGGATACAAAGACATAAAATAAAAACACATTATTCACATCAATTGGATGTTGTAGCACATCAAGACCTTAGGACATCTTTAGTTTCAATGCCCACAAAATATAGAATTTACGATGGAAGTCCTTATATGAATTTTATACCAAATACAAAGGCAATATATAAATACATTTATAACATAATGACTAGAGTATGCAAATTCAGTTCCTGAAAGAAGAAGTCATTAACGGAGTACAATTCTATGTATTTAGATTAAGTTCAAGTCTTTTAATTAAAATTCGAAAAACCAGCATCTACAATAATTAGAAAACGAAAAAAAAAGCAACACTGAGTTTGGATAAAAACAAAATAGCCCATTTTGTCTGCTGTACATTGCTGTCACAATTCTCACTCAACGATTTGGTAGATCTGCCATTAAACATCAATTTGTACGGAAGTAATAATTTTTTTCATCTTGTCTCGCGATTAGTGCCTGCAAATTAGGCGGAGAGGACCGATGCAATTCAACTACATTCACAAAAATTAAAAAGGCTAAAGCGGTCTTTTCCACTATTAAAACCTTGAACGAATAAGAGTAGTCCTAGATAAGGAAAACACATCTCTTTTAGTCTTATTTATGTAATTTTCTCTTATTTCTCAGGATATGCTCTCTATTGAAGAATATTTGGCTTTAAAAGGAGCAAAGATGGTTTGCACAGTGAGTATCGGACAAAAAAAATGTGCTAAATTAACTCGAGAAGGAGTTCATGTGATGAGAGGGTTAGTTGCTGCCATTGAGAATGAGGTGGATCAGGCGAATATAAGAGAAGTTATCCGATTGGATGATGTTGAGGTCAATGATATGAGAGTTAACTGGAAGGAGAATGACAACATTCTAATAGTCAATGCCACTGATTCGCAGTGTGACAACCTCTTACGATCTTTTATAGACCTCACACATCATCTATGTGAGTCTAAAATAGGGCTCGTTCCAGATGACCTCAAGCATCTCTTGAGGTACTTGAGCAAAGTGGGTCGTGTAAGGTATATATATATATCTCTCTCTTATCTCTACATAAATGTGGCTAATATGTTTAATGGTCTGTATTTATGAAAAAATCCCACACAATTATAATGAAACGGTAACATGGGTTGTTTTAATGAAATTGATAAATATATGCAAAAATCTAGCCTAAAACCACACAGCATGATAAGCTTCACAAGGATCAACATAATCTAGCTTGAAAAAGCATCTCTTAGATAGCAAAAGATCAGGCCCCATCTGCATGTGTTGAAATCATATGCAGAATGTCACTCTTCTAGGATCTACTGCCAAAAGCTGAAGTTCATGTCACTTGCTGCCTTCAAATTAGCATGAGTAGCACCTAAACCATGGTCCATACTTGTAAAAGAGCATCTGACCAGAGGCTTTAGCAAAAGGATAGGACTATCACTGCCATTTTAACACAAACATAACATATCAGTCAAATCAATAAACATATAGCACATATTGTACTAGTTGAATTCTCTACCATGCACAAGCACAGAAACACACACACACACACCTGTCCACATACTCATTTGCTTTCAGTCTAACTAGAAAATAAAGAGTCCCTTATAGTTTATATTTTTTGTTTGTTTTGTTAGGGGTTTGATAGTTCTTTTTTTGATGTGGAACAACCTAAATGATTTTAGCTAGGTTTGTTTGAATTAAAATAATGTCTAGTAATGTGATGAAAACATGCCCATTTAGTTATAGTATTAAGTGTCAACTGTCAACTGGGCATACATTTGTGGTGACCCAAAAAAGTAAAAAATCTTGCTTATCATTACATGTAATCCTTTGCTTAAGCAACTACCATCTTCATCCTCTAAAGATGTGGAAGAAATTTATTTTGATATAAAAAAGCAATGATTTATTTACTCAAATTAGAAGAATTTTTTTTGTAAGCTTTTGTATCCTTCCAAGGAGTTATTTGGATACATACTATCTTGTCTAAAAGCGATACCTTATTAGATTCATTATCTCTAATGTTATCAACCTTCAGAGTTAGTCTCTGGATTCAAAGGCAAAGTCACTGCCAAGGTATAAGTTTGTCTTTCACAAGAGTGTATTTGGACTTCTTGTATGAACGCATCCTCCCTTCGGGCTGATCTGATGACTTGCACTCCAACTAAGACCAATACAAACCCAAAAGAGAGTAAAAAACAAAGCCAAAGCCACGAATTCAACATTCAAATTCAGCACCATCCATAAATTCTGCACTCTGCAGTGTTAATAGAATTAACTTACCTCCTTCGTCATCACCAAAACATATTCAGACACTTCAAAGACCATCATTAGTGACTTTTACACTCAGCAGTCAGCACCAGTAGTATATGTGTGCGTCCTATGCCAAATCTGTAACATCAATCATCAAAATCATAAACCAAAATTTTAAGCATAAGTCAGTGGCAAAGCACTCTAGTAGTGAAGACCATAGAACATAGACAATGTCCCACATCAAGAACCATAGCTTGAATTAGCAAATCAATCCCAAAATCAAAATTGGGAAGTCATATGACCAATGATCTCCCATTAGCCAAAAGCTGAACAAGTTCCCTGCTGGTATGGCCTGAAATTCAACCCTCACAATCTCAAATACAAAGTAGAAGCTCAAGCAAAGCCATTGACCTTACTAACAAAGACAACTCCTTGATCAAATGGTAGTGTTAGGAATAAAAAAGTGTGTCCAATAGACCATTGTCATTTGTCAAGAACCCTAAGCAATAGCCTAACAACCTACCAAATCAACTTACCAAAAACCTTTATTCTTCCCCCGCCACCTTACATAAAATCATAGCCAAACTCATAATCAGAGGCATAACAAACCAAAGCAAAACCCATGACCATATAAATGCATAAAGAATCTTCTAACAATCATAACTGGCCATTTTAATAGTCCAACCTCTAATATATATATATATATATATATATATAACTCCAAGAAATAGTAAAATCTAACAAAGAGTCTAAAATCTTTTGTCTAAAAACAAGAGTAGTTGTAAACATATCAGAACCTAGTATCTTAAAATGAAGAGTTAAATTAAAACAACCTAATAAGTTTGTCTATGAAAACCAGAAATCTAGGGTGTTACAATCACTTCAAGAACCAGCATCTATTGTCGCTATTTGTTCTACTATCCTTGTTTGGAACCTACAAGTTCCAAACAAATTGTTTTACTCATTTTCCATCATATTGCAAAAAAATAATACAAGAATAGTGACACCCAAACTTATACCATTAAAAAGTAAAGTATAAAATTATATTCAAATGTTGAGCACTAATATTCAATATAATGCCTGATTAAACAATTGGTTCTCAAAAGAAGAAAGCATCAAAGTGGCAAATTCATTCATCTATATAAAATTGGCTTACATATATTATTTTCTCTTGCTTTTCAAAAAACCAGCAAATATATAAAGAAGCATACGCTCAATACAAACAGAAGCATATTTGTTTCAAGCCCGTAATTGTTTCCCAAAAGTTGAAGTTCATGTCACTTGCTGCCTTCAAATTAGCATGAATAGCACCTAAACCATGGTCTATACTTGTAAAAAAGCATCTGACCAGAGGCTTTAGCATAAGGATAAGACTATCACTGCCATTTTAACACAAACGTAACACATCAGTCAAATCAATAACCATATAGCACATATTGAACTAGTTGAGTTTTCTACCATTAACAAGCACAGAAACATACACACACACACCTGTCCACATACTCATTTGCTTTCAGTCTAACTAGAAAATAAAGAGTCCCTTATAGTTTATATTTTTTGTTTGTATTGTTAGGGATTTGATAGTACTTTCTTTGATGTGGAACAACACACACACATATTTATATAATTTGTGTTTTATTGCAGGGAAAGCCATGAATTTATCATGCATCACCCTGCACTATGGAACGAGATATTCGTTGAAAAGATGGTATTAAGTCTAGATATTGACAATTCAGTTTCGGTGCCTAAACAATTCACAAAATCATTTTCTTGGAAAACAGAGTTTGAGAATTTGGTTATCAAAAACCCCGCACTCAATCAAAATGGCTTTTATGTAGCCATAAAAAAAATTTGGACTAACACTACTCATGGCTTTAAATGTAGCGATGATATAGGAGGTTTTTTACACTTTATGAGGAACATTTTTACTCATTTTTATGATCAACTAACTGGAAATATAAAGTATCTCACTAAATCCCATCAAGCCAGTGCAATTTGGGAGTTCATGCATGCATTTAAACCGGACTTTTTGTGCCTTCTCTACTCAAGCATCTTCTACGATCCTAACTTTCGACGATATTTCACTCCATTGATGTGAGGTAACTATAATTATTTTGTTACTAATAATTTGTAGGTTACATAATCATGATATTCAACGTTGTTTTGATTGCATATTTTGTGAGATGTAGATTCTATAACTTTTGAGAGGAAATTTAATTTAGTGTGATTTGAGTACAAACTAAAAAATGTTTTGATGTTTTTGAAATCAATGAAAAAGGAAAGTGATAACTCCATTACATTAATACAACAATCCCACTTCTCTCGCATGCAGTGTTACTTAGCCATTGATGCATGACAAAAGAATATTTTTTAAATTTTATATTGTGTACATTGCTTTTTATTGATGGAAATAGCTCAGAATAGATGAATGGTTGTTTTGTTCAGGAATGAGCATTTTTGGTGGGGAGATCATCTCAAGATGTGATTTAGGGAAGGCTACTTTTGTGACATAATCTATGACGCAATTTGATTTAGGACCTGGTTTGTTGTAACAAGAGAAACAAGACGTTTTAACTACAACAGTATGTTGTTATTAAGGCTAATTAGGCTATGCAACTTTAAAGCATGCCTTTAACTATGCTTGGTGTCTTTAAGGTTCTGCACACCTTTAAAAGCATTTCCAGTGCTGTTTGTATCCATACTTTTAATCCATATTTACTGTTTATACAGTGAAATTATGTTTGCTGTTTTTAAATAAGGGTGAATTTTGTTTTCCATTGATTATAAGAGCATCCCTAGTGGTGAGGAAAAGTTTGAGAAATTCTAATGTGGCATGAGGGGAAGTTGAAGTAATTTAAACTTTCTGATTTTTTATTTGACTTGTGCTCTGCTTCCAATACTTTATTTTGTGGATGGCTTGCAGTTTTATTTGTTGGAAAAATCTATATGTACACCATTATTGTACACCATATGTGCACCATATAAAAGCTCACCCCTACCTTTTCAGTCAGTCCCCCACCCCAATACGTCTCCCTCTTCTCTCTACCTCCCCCCCCTCCCTTTGCCTTCTTGACCGTCTTCACACCATCTCTGCATTCGTCCTCTTCACAGCTCCTTCATTGTCTACATCGTCGGCCTCCTTCATCGTCTTCGCCTGCGCTCTCCCTCAACAAAAAAAAATCAGCCCTCCACAAGTTATTCAAATTCAAAAGGTAAGTTGTTCAAAATCTAGGGTTATCATTGCTTTTCGGGCAATTCATTTATCAAAATACTAATTCTAGTCCAAATGGGATGTGCTAGGGGTACACCAGATGTGTACCCCAAATGTACACCACTTGCTTCTATACCATTCATTTTATTTTCTTTTTATTTTTTACTTTTTTTAAAAAAAAATTCTTGCTTTTTTTGTGTGATATGGAGGGGGTGGGGGATGTTTGGGGTACACTTTTGGTGTACCCCTAGCATTTTCCAGTCTAAATTGATATATCAGTTTGCTGTTTTTGGGCAAAATATTGCAGAAGCAATTTTGTCATTCAAAATCTAAGGTTCCCAGTGTATTTTCCCGCTATGTTGTATAAACTATCATATGTGTGAAGTATAGTATGTTGTCTGTCAGTCTGTGAAGTATGAAGTATGTATAGGAGAATGACATGAATCATGTCCTAACTAAATTTCTCTAATCCACAAAAGGGTTAAAGATGAATCCCCAAATCAGTCTAGTCTTGGTGCACTGTGGTTGTGGATAATGTTTCACAACAAAAAGAAGGGTTAGCTAAATGTCTATAAACATAAAATATTTTTAAAGTTTAGTTTGCATGCTGTTGAAGACTTGTTGTGTGGTCCAAAACAAATTAAAAATTTATAAAATATCCTTAACTAACCCCCAAAATATAATCAAATAAAAACTATAGCTAGGGCAAGTAAGGGTCGATCTCACGGGGAAAGTTTGTACTTTTGAAATCATTTAAGCATGCACATACATTGTCACGAAATAAAAATAAAAAAACTACACATATGATAAGAACTTATAAAACTTATAATAAAACTTATAACTAAAAACATATAAATATAACTTATATAAACAAAGAATTTATAATATAACTTATAAACATAAAACATATACTTAAGATATACTAAAAAAAGTATAGAAACTTATATTTATAACTTAAAACACAAAGAGGAGGGGTTTGAATAAAAAGTAAATATTTTTTGGTTTTTTATATTTTCTTATTTTTTTTGGATTTTTGATAAAATAAAAATGGGAGAAACAAGCTCAAAAGATAATCAACTTCTCCAACTAAGGTAGCCCAAGAAACACCGCCAAAAACCCAAAACAAAATGAAAAAGAGAACAAACACAAATTGAATATTACACGTATGATAAGCACGTAGACAATATATTACGTAACTTACGCACTTAAAAATAGAAAAAAAGAATTCTAAGGCTCGAGTTGATTCATATCCTTGACCACATATAGAGGATCGTCAACTCTCTATAAGGCCCGGAGTCAAAGATTCAAAGGCCTTTTGGTTACTTTGAACCCCCACTCACCTCAAGCGCTCAAATAATGATTCCAAAAGATGAAAAAGTTTATAAAAGAGCGAATCTTTCTTTCATTCTAACTCCCATGCACAAAGTATCCATGAAGAACATTTGATACACTTTAATAAACTTTAACGTCTAATGATGAAAATATTTTGCAGGTCTTTGAACAACTCAAGCATAAGAATTGTAATCTATTCACATAAGAAAAACCTTACATATTTTCATTAAATCAAGAGTTGTTTATTGCGCTTAAACAATCCCAATTTTTATGAAAATAACAAAGAAGAACACCAAGACATAAACAATCACTCTATAACGAATCTTAAAGAAAACGTTCAACTTATGTGGCTAAGAAGTTCATTTACCTTAAAATTTTACAAAACACAAGTCACAAAAAAGATTCACGTATGAATTCGAAAATCACTTAACTAAAATATGTAGCTAACCGAATTCGACATACCAACCTACTTATGAAAGCAAATTTATAATTCAACCAATTTAACATCAATTTGCGCAAAAATTGAAGAAACTAGTAAGAATCAATTTTCATTCATAAGGATTTAATATAACATAACAAAACCCATAAGAAACCACCAACCATTTTGGAATTTTCGAAATTAACACAAACAAGGGGAAAAAAATGTAAACTTGAATTGAAACAACATTTTTACAAAGAAATTGGAGAAGAAAAAGAAATTAGAGGTAGAAGATGATAAAAACTTGTAGAATTGGAGCTTGAAGAAACCGCCACTAGTCGCCAGCGCTTCTGCCACCGCCGTCACCTGCCATCGTAGAATGCCGGCGAGCCGTCGTTGGCCGCCGTCTGCATCTCCGCCGGTGGGTTGCGTCAATAGCAGCGGCAAGAGCCGTTGCTCTGTTATTTAGGTACGATTTCCCCCCATCTGTCAGCTGTGATTTGCCTTCAATTTATAGCCGAAGAATTGTTCCGTTGATTTCTTCCCGTTGGCAATTGATTCTAGCAATAAATGTGGGGGAGCGTTGAAGGAGTTGGGCTGATTTTTTTCGTTGAAGAAGAAAGCCGCTGCTCAATGAATTTGCCGATGAAGACGTACAAAGTGCAGATATTTTTCTTCTTACGCTGGATTAGAATGAAGAGAGGACCTTCTTATGTTGGGTTTGGGCTTCGGCCCAAATTCAATACCTTCTTTTAAAACTTGGACTTCTATTTTTTTGTGCACAAAATGTGAACCCACTCCCCAAAAATCTTGGGTCCGCCACTGGCTAACACAGATCTTGGGTAGATTTAGGAAGTTTATTAATTTGTTATTTTTATATCATTATAAAATCTTTATAGCTATTTATTGAACTATAATGTCTATTTTAGTCATTACGCTTTACACGAAGGTTCAAACTAATTTTTTTTTATATTGTTGGTCACCATTTTATGAGATCTACCCAAAAATCTAGTTTTTAAATTAAAAAGTCAACGTTACAAATACTTCACATTTTTGAGTAAATAAATATTACTCCCTCCGTCCCAAATTATTTGTCACATTTCTATTACCGAGGCAAAATATTAAGTTTTTTTCAATTCATTTTATTTACATATTGGTAAAAAATAAAAAAAATTACATATTAAAAAACTACATGAAAAATTTTTCGAAATAAGAGGTGTCAAAAATATTTTATTTTATCAAATAACCAATGAAAACGTAAAAAAAATAAAAGTTCCCGCGACGATTGAAATAGTAAATGTGGCAAATAATTTGGGACGCAGGGAGTATATTTATATTAAAATAACGGCTAGCTATTAAGCCGATTTTCGGATCTTTACATTTCTTCCCTTCTTAAAGGAATTTTGTCTCGAAATTCTTCTAGGGTAGAAGGTTAATAAAAACATGTTTACCAAGAACTCAATTCCATATTTGTTGTTGTGTTTGTTTAAACATTAGCTTAACATTTATTTCTCTTTAAATATGATTCCTATCTCAATCATAACAAATAGTTTCCATCTTGTTTTATGTGATTGCCTCTTAATAAGTTTTACAAAAAATAAATTATTTGAGATTTGAAAAATATTCCAATTCAAGTTTGAAGTATCTCTAAAAAGAATAATCAGTTTCAAATTTTTTTAAAGAAAAGCATGTTACTTCTTTCTTTTTTTCACACCTTGTTTTTTTTTGTTGTCATTTTTGTCTGATTTCAAAATAAGACACCATCATACATCCAAGTCTGCCGCCCTTTCTGAAATAAGTTGTTGTTACGATGATCAGCGAAACAATTTAACATTAGTAGTTTTTTTGATTTGGTGATTTAATTGCTTCGCCATTAACATATCAACCCTTTTTTTAAAGTTGCCTATGCATTAGTTAGCACGTGACACAATTACTACTACCTCCGTCCCGCTATATTCGTCCATTTTTTGACTTTTGGAACTATTTATCTAATCATTTTGACTCATCAAATTCTCCCACTGTGTAGGCCTAAATATAGTCATGTGTGATATTGTTTGATTTGTCTTAACATATACGGAGTAGATTATTAATATATAATTTCTATAATTTTTTAAAATACAAATTATAAATAAAATGGATTAAAGAAGTGTATTGGATGATATGTAAAAATGAAAGTGGACAAATACTATGGATGGATGGAGTATTATTTTTACATAACATGATGGCAGAAGTCATCGTGAATTCTTGTATATTGAAGCGGGACTCGTTCTATGTGAATCACTAACTTTTTTTGATTGAATTAATTACACACATATATATATCATAATGCAATTCAAATAGCGGCATAGTGTTGGTGCAAACATCTTCCACTTACCGTCATACAAGACACAAGACTTTGAAATCAATTCGCGATTTGAATCGCGACAAACAAACAAATAACAAGTTGAGAAGGGATCTGACACGGTACCTGTTAGGGTACCTCGGTACTGCCAGACGGTACCTTAGTACTGTCGGTCGGTACCGAGCTACCGTCCAAGCGCAGGTACCGGCAGAGCAGAATGGCTTGTGGCGGTAGCATGGTACTGCCAGGTAGTACCGAGCTATTGTCTAACATCGGGAAAACTCAAAAAAAGTAGAGTTTGATCCAATTTCAAACCATTCAATACGTATAATGTTTTTAGAGATTATTAACACACAAATCACACAAATTAGAGAAAGAAAATATACCTTGTCTTTCCTGATCAATCAATTCAAATAACATCATATATTTTAAATAAACCATAATTCAAATTATAATCAAATAAATATCAAATTCTACATAATCAATCATACGAGATTAGGAATGTGAATTTTAAACCTATACGAATAATCTAGTATTACATCTCCACGTACTCACCTCTATTATTAGACAAATTAAACGAATCAAATGGGTCAAAGAATGAACACAACGGTCAATTGGCTGTTCTCGGTGACCCAGGCAATGGTGGCACCGCCGGAGCGAGTCTTCCTTCGTGCCGAACTGATCACATTTCCACCCCGTTCTGCGAACAACTTTTGTCTATTTTTTCGTGCGATTATGTGCAGCTACCTTTTTTCTCTTGGACATGTGTGTATATATATACTTCATCCGTCCACGAATAAACTTCTCGTTCACTATTTACAGGGTCAAATTTTATTAACTTTGTTGGCCTATTTTTGTTCCCCATTTGCGAAAACATTCTGATTAAGACTTTCGAGAAAAAAATGTGAAAATATTGAATGAGCTTTTCGCTAAAGATCAGAAGGTGCCTCATTATTAAGTCGATGATTGTTTTTCAAAGATTGTCTTCAAATTTGTTTTAACTTTTTCTTCATCTCAAATTTACAAATTTATTTGTTTTTTTGCTTTGTCCTCTGTAGTAATCATTCCTTCAATTTGGTGTGTGGACTATTAATTGGGTGTGTGGACTATTGCAATTAACAGTGTGCAGCCTTGATGTTTGTAAAAGTACTTAATTTAGTTTTTCCATTTCCTCTACTGTAACCATTCTGCTTCTAAAATTACTTCTTACATGCGAAGTAATGGGCTATACATCACTTGAGTGAGAACATGTTTTCCTTTGTCAAATAGGGATGTGTTCGTGTGCCAAATATCATTTCCATTTTTTTACTCTGCACCAAAGGTTTGATACCCTTCTAACTTGGGAAGTATTTTATTTGTTCCTTGCTATCTTATCCTTCTCCTTTCCCATTACTTTTTAAGAAACACATGCCTAACCAATTTCTGTAGAAACATGTTTTCAGTCATTGTTACCTACCAATTGACATAGTATATCGATTAAGGGAAATTCATTTTTCTGCATAATTATGCTTCTATAGTTGATGAGACTTTCAGACTAAGGTCATTGTTCTTGCTAAGCTATTTCTTACTTCATTTTTTATTTTTTATCCATCACTATATTGAAACATGAAGATTTGTCTATATTACAGGTCTGCTATGCTTGGATATTAGATTTGAAGAGGAAATTTTTGGAAGCTGCCTTGCGTTATTATGACATCTCACAGATTGAGAAGCGACCAATTGGAGATGAGTATGTTTCTTACAAGACGAATAAACAACAAATCATAAATGTATTTTTCTATATTTCCTTATCTATTTTTTCTTGGGACAGGGAAATCTATGAAGCAGCTCTTGAGCAGGCTCTAACCGTTGTTGTCACATGCACAATTTTGGCTGCTGTTGGCCCTCAACATTCTCGCGTAGTTGCTACTTTATACAAAGTAAAGAATCTAAAGATGAACCTATTAGTTTTTTTAGGTTTTCGTGTTCTGAAATTTACTACTATACTTTTTATACAAATAATAGTACTTATTATTTTTACTTTGTATTAATTATTATAAACTATACATAAATATTTCATACTCAAATTAATTTTTAATTAAAGCTTAAAAACATTTTAACCTTCTTTTACGAAAGTGAAAATTGAAAATTGGAAAAGGTTAATTGGGGCATACAAAGTAAAACAATAGAAAAAATAAATTAGTAAGAAGTAAATAGTAATTATTACTGTTATTTTTATTTAAAAAAAGAGTAGTAAAAGTAATAATTGATTTTTAATATTAATAGTAATAATTATTAATAAAAATAATACGGAGTAATTAATAATAATATAATATTAATAATAGAATAAGATTATAAGAATAAAATAATAATAAATATGAAGTAAAAAATAACAAGAATGGTAAACCTACTAGTTAATTTTTTAATTATAATAATACTCTGTAATTAGTAACAATTAACATTAACAACAACAACAATAATAATAATAACAACAATAAGAATAATAATAATAATAATAGTAATAATAGGTAAGAAGAAAAAAGAGTCAAAAGGAAAAAGAGAAGAAGAAAAAATGGAAGGATGGGGGCTGGAAAAGTTTCAAAGGTGGAGGAGGAGGAGGAGGAGATGAGAGAAGAAGAAGAAGATAGAAAACGGGGAAGGAGGAGAAGTTAGCGGAAAGTGGAAATTGACAAAATGTCACCTCGAACTCGAAGTAACTTTTTGATATTTTAAGGTATCCTCTAGTACATTTTAAATAATTATGGGGACTGGCAATTCTTGTCACAAAATATGGGGTACCCCACAGTAACTTTTTTGAGTCTGAAACAGGACACTCCGTATCTCTTCATTTTTATCCATCAAAAAATGTGAAGTATAAGGATAATAAAAAATATAGGGATTGTCTAAAATGACAGCAGTTACTTATATAATAGTTGTTTACACCAACTCGTTTGGGATACCTACGATGCTCCGTTTATAAAAACGATGGTTCCTATCCCCCCTAACCCTCCCCATAAACCACCAGCCCAACCCCACCCTTGCCCCCCTACCCCTGCCCCCCCTCCCGCCCCCCACTATACTTCCAGGGTAGGGTGGGGGCGGGAGGGGGGCTGGGGTGGGGGGCAAGGGTGGGGCTGGGGGTTTAGGGGGAGGGTTAGGGGGGTAGGAACCGTCATTTTTACAAACGGAGCATCGTAGGTACCCCCAAACGAAGTAGTGTAAACAAATGACACTAGTAGCACTGATGTCATTTTAGAGTTATTGATAAAAATACTCCCCCAAACCCAAAACAATCTTTTGTGATGGGACAGAGCACGGAGTATTAGTTGTTTTATGTATTAGTGTTGGGCCGTTTGCCAAAATAATTAGAGATTAGACTAGATTACATCAAC